AAAAAAAAAAAAAAAAAAAAAAAAAAAAAAAAGAAATAGTTGGGAAGCATCTTAGAAATTGTGTGATCAATTATGAGAAACATGCGTAAGCTGCTGAGCAGCTCATACGTAACTAGCTGGGTGTATGTTTTCTTTAAAAGGAATATGATGATGCTTCACCAATAACTTATGCCCATTATGCCCTTTGTATCTTTGAGCCCCAGCAGTATTTCTAGCCATATAATGAGCAGTTTTCTAATTCACTAATGTTCTATTATTACTTCTCCGAACCCAGTTGCTTCCTATAGCAGAGATAGCCCTACGGACTAGTGGTGTCAGGTTCACAGAAAGTTAGACCTTGCACAAATCTGACCAGAAACTCTGTAACTGTCTTTGTGGTGGGCTTGTGGCCTGTGTGATGGGAAGCAGCAGCTTCCTCTGTTCGCGCACAGCATCCTCAGCATTTAGATTAACTTGTTTACCAAGCTCTGTATGTTTAAAAGTGAAAACGAACTTTAGTTTTTTCACTCTGAAATGCCCAGGTTTTGATGCGCTGCTGAATTATGCATTGGTTTTGAAGTTTCTTAAATAAAAACTAGTGAAACATGTTTTATAATATAGCACAGATAAAGGGAAAAGCTTTCTCTGCAGGAGTGAACAAATCTACTGGGAACTAAAAATTTTGTTTTAGATTCTACTTTATAAATCATTTTGAAAGGTTTCAAAGTATATTATTTAGTACTGGCCTCCCTGGTGTTCTGAGTTACTCATTAGAAAAGTAAGCGTGTGCCGTCTTCTCCCTCCAGTCCCATTTACTGTCGGTAGCAGCTGGCCGGTCCCTGGCAGTAGATTTGCCTATAAGGGCAATTGAGCTTGGGAGCTGCCTCTGCTGACCTGGCTCTCAAGATGGTCCCACCTGCCCTGCTGTTTCCTCCTGGTTGATGAGGGGCTCCTTCAGGTGGGCAGGTGGACTGGAAACAAAGCCCCTGTCAGAAGATTGGGGGGGTCTTGGAAATAGAACAGGAGAGTTGAGTTGTTCCTACCAGGTCTTGCCTTGCAACTGTCTAAATGGAACATAATGACGCTTCACAGATAAATTATGCCCGTTTTCTTGTATCTGAGCAACGGTCTTAGCAGGGTTGGGTGTGCTTAGGGACACCTTGCGACTCTCCTTTCTCAGAGTTCTGTGTCCATCACCAGCATTGTGGGGGCACATCAGTGTGTTTGGAGCCACAGTTGTGATGAATTCCTGGCACTCACCACCGAGTGTCCAGGGTGCCATTTTGCGGGGAAGAGATGTTAAGGGAGGGGCCTCGCCGCCAGGTCAAGCTTTGGAAGCCCCTCTGTGTGTGTCATCATTAGCACTAGGAGGACTTGCACAGGCAGATTCTTTCTGTATATCACATGGGTGGGGCACGTGTACCCACTTATTTGAAAGGATGGGTTTTTGATTTTTTTTTTCATTTCCAAATTTAGGGGAGGTAGAAAATGGCCTCTTTGTGACCATCCTACTGGTTCCATGCCTACTGTTTGTGGTAACATCATCTCGCATTGAGACAGGCTACATTCATTCAAGGAGATGCCTAGAAATAGACAGCTCAGCTCGGCGCCTGTAGCTCAACCGGCTAGGGCGCCAGCCACGTGCACCTGGGGTGGCGGGTTCGAATCCCCAGCCCGG